ATCATTATCATTAATCTTATTATCATCATTATCATCATTATTAAACAACCGACTATTCTTCAGTGGGTGCAGTTTCCACATTTTGAAAAAAAACCAACATACAATTCAGCAGTCACATTTTTCCAGTTTAGTTATAGTTTTAGTAGGTTTTTTAGTTTTAGTTAGAGTTTTACGGCACTTGCAACACAATAAGGTCATACAAGTGCCGAAGATTGGAGGTGTTACAAGAGAGTAACAAACACCAAAAAGAAAAGGAGGGGAGATAAAGACAATAGATGTGTGATAGGAAAAAAGGAGCAAACCACACCAGAGCACCCGCCAACCACCCACTAGTAGAGGTTTTTAAGGCGCTCGCAACTGCATAAGGTCATATGAGCGCCAGGGGTGGATGTCAACAGAGAAGTCCTTACAGGGAATCAGGCTTACTCTGCTCATCTCTCTTGCTTTAACAGCACAAAGTCTGCTTCCACTATCAAGGCACCCCGGAAATAGCAGGTCACAAGAGAGTGTGACAAACATACAAAAGAAGTAGAGGAAAAATGACAATAGTAAGGATTAGGAAAGAAAAAGCAGCATTTCCCTGTTGTCTATCAGGCACAGTTAGGAGCATGACATTGTGGGATCAGCCCATTTACAATTCTACTGTGGATGAATGAGAAATGTCCCCTTCGGGAATGTCCTAAAACAGCGGCACTGTCCCGGGGGTACATTTTTCCCACCCAGACCTTCTCCAGGTCAATCTGACCATTCAAACGTTCAAACTAAAGATAGCGTAACATTTGTGAGGCAGCGTGGTGGAGGCAGCGTGGTGGAATCAGGCTCTTGTCAATTTTTGGGCATGTAGAGTTATGGGTATCATCTTAAAGCTTATTCACTTTGCCTTTATTTGGATGAAACCAATATCCATTTATCTTGAATACAAGTCGAGATATTTGCGAAAGAAAGAGGTGGGGGTCACCTGTTTTCAGATGTTAAATTAGTGAGAAAATGGCCACCAAAGATTAGTTATTTCTATATCTTAAGAGTCCGTGGTAACTGAAAATTTACATTTTTGTGCCTTTAATCAACGCTTTTCAGAAAAATCCACACTGAAATGAGTTCTTTAATGGGTGTGAAAGGTGTTGAGCCAAAAAACAAAAATTTGATAAAAATTCACACAAACTTGCAGAAAAATGCAAGTTTCTTCACTTTGATTATTTTGACGAGAGCCTGAATCCACCACGCTGCCTCACATTTGTATAGATATATATATATATATATACATCTTCATTGTCCATTCCCGTACTACAAGTACACACTAATCACATCACACGTCTACTAAAAACTACTGGACAAAGAGAGCAACTAAAACAACATTCACCACAAGTCAGTGCAGCAAATGAGGCCAGACTGCCAGAAACAACAGCAATAAGTTAGTTACAACAATGCTGCTGTGTTCTGATAAGATAAAAGTTAGCACAAATCCTCCTTGATTCATCCTCAATGTTAAAACCAGCAGCACAGATTAGTCATCAAAATCACATAAACTAGGGGTACCAAAAGAGTTGTTTACTAGTGGGTAAAAAGAGGTCCATTTCCACAATCAACATTATTTTGTGTGAGGAAAAAGAAAGACAGACTCAGACAGTCAACAGGTTGGGTCTGATTTGTTTGTTTGAGGTAAGAGAGGCACATCGACACAATAATGGTCATTTAGTGCTGGGGGGAAGTAGGACAGACAGACAGAAACAACAGAGAAAAAGTAAAGAATAGAACCTACCAGTGACACCTTCCAACCACCCTTGGTACAAAAACAAATTATAAAAACCAGAGACCATTTGGAGCAACAGAAACATCTCACTTGTAAATAGTACATTTGTGCGTAAAAGAATTTAAAATTAAAAATATTTTTAAAAAGCATTATTACTACGGTACCTACAAACAAATAGTTTTTCATTTTCATGACTGGAACTGGAATCAAGAGAAACTATCACTTATCAAATTTAAAATTCAATCAAGCATTTTCCTGCAACATTTAGCGACTTCAGTGCCTTCTTGTCCTATCTCCATTTTTTTTTTAACATTGATGAAAATGTGACGTCTTCTTAAGCTCACTCTTTGTTATGAATTGTTTTCAATGTTGAAAAAAATGGAGACAAGACAAGAAAGCACTGGGGTCGCAATTTTCTAAGAACCTGTGAATGCATAGACATAGAAATATACAACATATAAGTATATCCGAAAACACATAGGTCGCTTTTGAGCATAAGTGGGCTATCCCAAAAAATGCTGTTTTGAGAAAATCCAAGGTAAAGTTTTTGCCCCTTGTTCAGTTTCTTTAAAAGACAAGGAGAGTTGTCTCTATAACCAAACAAATGTATACACCAATGAAACCAAACTTCTCCTATAGGTAGGGCAATGTCCACTGTTGATTTGGGTAAAGATTTCTGGAAACCTCCCCCTTTTTATTTTATAGTAGAGGTTTTACGGCGCTCGCAACTGCATAAGGTCATATGAGCGCCAAGGGGTGGGTGTCGACAGAGAAGTCTTTACAGGAATCAGACTTGGACTGCTCACCTCTCTAGCTTCAACAGCACAAAGTCTGCTTCGACTATCAAGGCACCCCGGAAATAACGGGTCACAAGAGTGTGACAAACATACAAAAGAAGTAGAGAAAAATGACAATAGTAAGGATGAGGAAAGAAAAAGCAGCAGTTCCCTGTTGTAGACCAGGCACAGTTGAGCGTCACATGAATCAGCCCATTTACAATTCTACTGTGCTTGAACGAGAAATGTCCCCCCCTTTGGGAATGGCCTCAAGACACTACAGTCAGTGGCACTGCCCCGGGGGGTGAGAAACCCCCCCAAATCTGGGTTAGCCCGCTTGTCCTTAACAGCGACCATATGATAAAAAGTACATGAGGAGACATAGTTCTTCTGGAATGCTGTAAGTTACCTGCTGCTCATTGAAAGCTCCAATATATATTGCACGTGAATACATTTGGTGATATATTTATATATATATATACAGAAGCATGGGTAAGAGAACTGACTTTTTATACATAAAAATACATGTCAACAAGAAACATAAAAAGTGTTTTTTGTAGCAGTCGCAATTTTATAAACCACGTCCTCCACCAGTCTTTTCCCTCAGCTTAGTTTTAGTTATAGGAATTGTTTCTACGGCATTTGTAACACAAATAGCTCATAATATAAGTTAGTGGCGAAGATTAGGTGTGTTGTTACAAGAGAGTTGACATGATACAAAGACAAGAAGGAGATAACGACAAATTTGATGTTTTGGCAAATTAGCTGAAATCTCTGGCATATCACTTCAAAGTCAATCAAAGAACTCCGAAGTGCTCACATAACAGAAGTAAAAGTTAAAACAGTGACTAAAATCAATTCTACGTCGTCTGCCAGTCAGCAGCACAAATATCTCAGCTCTGGAAGTTTTCTACTCTCGTTAATGTAGGCCTCTGCATAGAGAGACCAGTGGCACTGATCAGCACTTGAAGGAAGTTTATTATAACGTAGACTTGCATGTAAGCCACAAACAGATTGTCTGAAAATTTAGCGCACACCACAAATGCCTTCCACCCCTGCCAGGGTATAGAGACCACATACAGAAGTAAAATAGGTGTATCTGCCTAAACTTACGATTGGTTGGTTACATGGAATGTTTCCATCACGACAATCTCCACCCAGGAGGTGAATACAACATCACTCTGTACATATTTAACTATCATCTCATTTTTTTACGTGAATCCACACATCAACTTCGGTTTTTCCCACAAAAGAAGAACGAGGCACAAACAACAGTTTAAACAAAAAACATGATCATAATCTAAAAATTTGACATAAATTTTAAAATGTCATGGACTGCAATTTCCAAAGCTGTGAGCACTCCTGGAGACAAAACTTCCTCTTACAAAATGAATCTTTGTACATTGTAAGGCCCATCAAACAGATTTGCCTATTTTAAAACTTGAAAATCAGTAACAATTAGCATTTGTTTCAATAACAAATGGTAAAATTCCGTAACATCTGATTTCTAGCCTACCTTACCTAGCATGTTTAGAAGCTAAAAAAAAAACCCACCACAGTTTCAAATCCCAATTGTCAATAATTACTTGGAACTTGGAACTTGTATTTTCACATAAATCCCATGGTAGATCACTACAGGAAACCTCTTTTTTCACACTGACCATCTACAAAATCTAACAATAATATCATGTGTCATGGTGAATGGAGCGGGGGAATCAGGCGTCCGTCAAGTTTTGGCCGAGTGGAGTTAACGGTATCATCTAAAAGTAAAAGATTGTTCATTTCTCTTGCATTTGATGAAACAAAAAAATACCCATCGACCTTGAGAAGAAGTCAAAATATTTCCGATTGAAGAAGGGGGGGGGGGGTCCATCTGGTAATCAGAGGTAAAACTTTCAAGACAAAATGGCCCCAAAAGTTTGAAAAGTTCCACAGCTTTAGAGTAATTAGAGTCCTTGAGAACCGAAATCTACACTTTTTGTGCCTTTAATTAACAGCTTTCAGTAAAACCCACACAGAACATTATTTTGGAATAAGAATAAACAGTGCTGAGCCCCCCTCCCTTCCCCCCCCCCCCCCCCAATTTTTTTATTGGTAAAAACTGTCAAACCGACCGAAAAATACCCTCTTCTTCAATTTCACAATTCTGACGAGCGCCTGATTTCACCACGATGCCTCACAGATATCACTGTGTGTGAGACATGACAAAAAGCCATCAAGTCAGTGTGAGCTAGTACTTTAAGGAGGAACCAGAAATCTAGACCAAGCAAAAACTGAATGCTAAAAAAATGTAATCTCAGACTGTTCGCTCCCGACACCATCAACATGACGAGGGAACACAAAATTTCCGACAAGATACATAAAAGTTTTAGTTTTAGTAAGAGTTTTACAGCACTTGAAACACAATAAGGTTATATAAATGCTGAAGAATAGATGTGTTACAAGAGAGTAACATACACAAAAAAGGAGGAGAGATCAGGACGATAGATGTTTGATAGGAAAGAAGAAGCAAACCACACCAGAGCACCTGCCAACAACGCACAATACATAAAAGAAACTCTGGCAAGCGGACAAAGCTTGGAGCAGACAACATGATATAACATTATACAGAAAACAAACTGTGGTGTACTTCTCTCCAAACAAAGGTCCGCAGGATCCAGCCTGAGACGCCAAGCAGCAGCAACTATGGTGGTCTGCCTCTTCTCCTCACCCCCTTCTACTTCCTCAAACATTTCGTCCTTTGTCAATGCGCTCAGCATCAGCCAGAGAACCGCGCACAGACCAGGCAGCAACTATGGTGGTCTGCCTCTTCTCCTCACTCCCTCCACTCCCCCCAACATCTCGTCCTTCGTCACTGCTCTCAGCATCAGTGAGACAACCGTGCGCGCACACACCAACAATGGTCTGCCTCTTCTCCTCACTCCCTCCACTCCCCCAAACATTTCATCCTTCGTCACTGGGCTCACCGTCAGTCAGAGAACCGCGCACAGACACCAGACACACCAAAGCTCCGTACCTCACTCCAGACACACGCACAAACAGAATATATCACAACCACCATCAGCCCCAGTAAGAACCTGGTTCCCTTATTCTCCTGGCTGTTCTATTTTTTAGTTTTAGTAAGTGTTTTACGGCATTTGCAACACAATAAGGTCATATAAGTGCCGAACGACTGATCTATACAGTTCTGATTGTCACTCCTGTCTCCTTCCTCCTTCTCCTCCCCACTTGTCCTCCCTACATCAAGATTCAGCCAGTTTGTTCCACACGCATCACCAACACCAGCCCATCACACGGTAGACTCCGCCTTGGCCGTCGCTCTGCCTTGCTCCATCATGTGGAGATATCTGAGGAGGAAAATGGTCAACTTCTCAACATGCATCTTTTAAAGTTTTCATAAGAGTTTTGCAGCACTTGCAACACAATAAGGTCATATAAGTGCCGAAGAATAGATGAGCTACAAGGGAGTAAAGACGATAGATGTTTGATAGGAAAGAAAAAGCAGACCACACCAGAGCACCCGCCAACCACCCACATGCATTTTTACCTGGGCGTAAAACAAAAACTATCTTAAAATGATGAATAGTATTGATCTACACGAAACGATGCAAAAAAAGCACATTTCATTGTAAAGTGACAAAATAAATGGGAAAGTCAAAAAGAACTAGAAAGTGCACAGGTTATTTCCCTTAGCTTACAATTATCACTTATCACAAGAAGATAACGCCACCCTCTTACCTTCCCAAAACAAGAAACAGACCACGATCTTCAGCCTACGAACAGAACATATACAGCTCAACTTTCACTTGAACAGAATAAAACCAGAACTTCCCCCAATGTGTCCCTTGTGTGACTATGCATATGAGACTGTGGATCATCACCTTTTCCACTGTACAGCCCTAAATGACATCAGAGCTACCCTTCTCCCTCCGAGACCTAACTTCGACAACACACTCTACGGAACATTACAGCAACTGCAGCAAACCTGCACTTATCCCTACATGGCATTGGACAGAAGGGCGAGAGCCCAGCTGTTGCTGGAGCCCAGCTGTTGCTGGATCGATAACAACAACAACAACAACAACAACCTTCCCAAAGCGTAACTAGAAAAGACATCAACAAACAAATCAACGGGTACCTGTTGACCAGCTCGTCCAGCCATCCCCGATGTCGCAGACCCTCCACCCACGACGGGGGCACGGCGGGAAAGCCCAGCTTACAGCCCAGGAGGGCACCAGCCACAGCACCATTGCCGTCAGCGTCACCGCCCTGTCGCAGACACAGTGTCATGATGATAATAACATAATAGCCCTGTCGCAGACACAGTGTCATGATGATAATAACATAATAATAATAATGATGATGATGATAATAATATTATAATAATAATCAATAATAAGAATAAAAATCAATAATAATGATGGAAATAATAATCAATAATAATAATGATAATAATCAAGAATAATAAGAGATGCAATGTATGATAATGATAACATAATAATATTGATATTGACAATGGTGATAATAATTGGAGAGGTGCAAAGTACAATAATGACACAATAATGATAACAATAATAATAATAATACAATAATGACACAATAATGATAACAATAATAATAATAATACTTGCATTTATACAGCACATATCTGTGTTCTACAGCAAGCTCTATGCGCTTTACAAAGTACTATCAGTAGCGAAGCGTCCATATAATTAAATAATCACTGCTTCCCTTCCTAATTTTGAAGCATTGCTGCAGTCAAATTCCCCCATAGATGTAAACCTCATAAATTAAATGTAAAAAGACGTTCATAATCACCAATGAATAGTATGCCTAACATTTAAAACGGTTTCATTGTCACAGAAATGACCTGTTCACCCCTATCGTGTCACTCCATAAGCAGTCCACGGCGTTACTTTTCGCCCGATTCTGTTACTTTTAGTTCGCGTGACTCAGCAGCCCGCCGGAGCTCCCCGGCTCGGGGTCATGGGGTTAATGAGCCCTGAAGCGACTTTGCCGTTGTCGGTCAGGAGGTTCGCATTTTTGACTATGTTTAAAACGATATAACTTCTTCCCCATCCCACATAGCAAACCATTATGCGGATGTACTAAAAGCTCAATGTCTTGAGATTTATTCTGCGTTAGAATGGTTAGTTTCTGTGCCTTAGTTTTTGCTCTAGACAAGTGTTTGTAGAGTACCCAATTTGTCCTATTTTAGTTACAAACTTATGAATAAATGATTGTTAATTCAAAAAAGGCACGACAGATCTCTCCAAAATCTGTGTTAAACTGACTACGAATATCATGTCTTTTACCATGAGAAATGTTAAATCTGTGGTAGTAGTAATAGTCAAGTTATAAGAGAAGAAAGATGCACATCTGCATATTTTAACTAAAGACGATCAGCGTTAGCTCTTATTTTACTATTAAACAAGAGAAAGTTACTCTGCGTTTGTTCATGAATCATGCTGTGTCTGTGGCAGCCTGCATACAACTAAAAAGATATAATATAAGCGATTAAAAAAACCACAAAACCGTGTAAATATATGGGTAGAGATAAACTTCTTGTATGGAATAAAAATAATGACAGCTAAAACATTCATTCTTAGTTTTTGTGTAGGAAATATGCGCGGACACAATTATGAATGTAAAGAAATCAGTCACATTGTCAGTTATTGCAAATGGTCATAGAAACGGAAAAAAAGCTGGAAACGCCTGGTGCTGTTTCAGTGTCCCTGGAAAGCTAGAAATTATTCTTATAACCCAATTACGAGAAGTCATCCTTATTATTCAGTCAACTTACAAAACCTAGACTTAGCGTTTTAAGGAAAGCAAGGAATTTCTGGAGTGTAACAGATACTGTTCGTGTATTAGATCTACGTTGAAGATGTATTCTAGCACTAAAATCGATTTGTACTTTTCATAGAGAAACTTCATGGTAACTTTTATAAACTTTCGAGAAAATATGCGAATATTCACGATTATATTAGACACATAAAGTTGTATTTGGAGGAATTACTTCATAGCGAATTGTGTGCCCGATGGATAAAATTGTAAAATTACAGCCTTCTATTATAAGCGCAGATACCATGTTTTCTGAGTATCTGCACCAATGTTATGTCGTTATGTCGTTCACGTTCCAAAAGTTCCACAGATTTTGACGATCCCTTTTTTTTATATTGATTTTTTTTCATTCACGCTAGTCAAAAAAAATTACAAATTAGCATTGCCGACTCCAGCGCGTCTAACGAAAGAACCCCCCGCGGCAACTAAAATTCCACTGCCGGTGCGCCGTGAGTCGCAAGCTTTGATTAAGTAAGTTTACAGTGAGGCTGGAAGAGTCTACCAAGAGAGTTGAAGGGAACGTGTGCTACAGTCAAAACTGTTTCATTGCCACATATACCCTGTTCACCCCTTTCGGGCCACAGTTATAATCAGTCTCAAGCACTGATCAGGTAAGCGAACTATTACACTGGTCGAGTCTACCTCACAGATGTGAGGGAAACTAACTCCTAATAATCTCTCACTGCTGCGAGTGCTCGTTTTTTTTTCCTCGACTTTTTACTGTCCTATAATTAGATTGTGACCTCGATTATGACACCGGCTCCTGGCCGCAAAACGCTAGACAAAAACAGCCAAATGTGAAATAAAAAAATTAATAATTGTCGAGTTCTACCGAGGAGTTTAGTCTCACTGGTAGTACATACTGTAGTACTGACATCTCTGCTTCTTTGCTTGGTGTATTCACATTTAAAGATAAATTTAATGTTTGTTGGAATAAATATTTTTAATGAGATACTTTCCCGATTATTTTAGCAGTTGAATATGCAAACAACATGAATTCAGGATTTGTTTTCATTCACAACGCAGTGTTGCCGCCTCAAGTAAGATTTTTGTGTGATATCTCATCCAGACCCTGTCTGGTCCCATCTCACTTTGATTACTCTGTCAAACAAGTCAGCCTTCACCCCTGAGTACTATCATCCCAGCAGACCACAGAACACTCAGAAACATTCTCAGCTTCTTGGGAAGCATACAGTGCAAGCAGCCAATTAAGAGTTCATCAAACACTAACAAACTGACAAACCCTTTCGCCATCTATGGCCGGTACCCATTGCCACCTGGGTGAAGAGAGGAAAACTGGTCTAAAGTGCCTTTCCCAAGGACACAACGGCGGGTGAAGCAGGGGTGTAACTAGAGAGTAGCATACAAAGAAAAGAAGGAGAAGGAGAGATAAGAACAATGGAAGTTTGATTTTAAAAAAGAGAAAAAAACCCAAATTAGAACCACCCACCACCCACCCACAACTGTATTTCAAAATCTTTCTCAAACACTTTGACGTCACATCTCGCCCATTGTTTCTTTGGATGTTCCCCCAAATGCCTTTGCCTTTGACAACAGGAGTTTTTTTAAAGTTTGCTCCGAGGAGTGGTCAGGCGTGTCTCAAACCAGCTCCTCATGGAGACAATTAGCAGGAAGACCCTGAGGTGGACGCTGGAAAGGAGAGAGGAGCAGCTATGGACATGTGCCGCCTGCTATGATTCTAGCTCTGGATCCAAGTAAACAGGAGTTTTTACTCCACGAGCCTTGAGATGGAAAAAGTGTTAAAAAATGAAGGCAACGTGTGGGAAACCTCACCTCCATGACAATGTCCTGTATCGCGGTCCGGAAGTTCTTCTGCTTCAGCGCCCAGAATCCGGCCCCGACTGCCTTGTAGGTGAAGCTCATGTTGCCAACGTCGCCGAGCTCTAGCTCCTTCAGCGACCTCGCCAGCATGTGTCGCTTCAAAGACTTCAACTGGAGGCCGGGAAGAGAGGGAGAGAGGCCGGGGGAGGGTGAGAGGGAGAGGGAGAGAGAGGGAGAGTGCCCGGTTAGACGTGGCGAAAGAGTTAAAAATCAAAAACGATTTTCTAAACAATATAACCTAACATTTGTTATGTGTGTATATACATCCTGTTTTGGTTTTAGTAAGAGTTTTACAGCACTTGAAACATAATAAGGTCATTTAAGTGCCAAAGATAAGATACTTATTTGTTTTAGTAGGTGTTTTTTGGCACTTGCAACACAATAAGATCATAATATAAGTGCCGAAGATTAGAAGGTTTTAAAAAAAGTTTTACTTAGTGTTTTACGGCACTTGCAACACAATACAGTCATATAAGTGCCGAAGATTAGATGTGTTACAAGAGAGTAACAAACACAGAAAAAGAAGGAGGGGAGATCAGGACGACAGATGTTTGATAGGAAAGAAGGAGCAAACCACACCACAGCACATTCCACCAAAAATGGGAGAAATAACGATGTTGTTGGACAACCAGCTATCCTTCTCCTCCTCCCAATGACTACACCCCCCCCCCCCACCGACATCCAAAGTCTTCCTTTTGATCTACCGCCCACATAAACAAGCAAATCCCAGTGGCCACCCCACATGAAACCCATCCAGACCCCATTGTTCACCTCCTCCACGGGCCGGCCCAGCAGACAGCCCGAGGCGTATCTGTAGCTCTCGCTGATCACTTCCTCCACGTCCAGCTGACCACTTTTCTTCACGTGTTTCTGCTGAAGCATCAGGGATATGGCCGTTGTCACGGCAACGCACGACGCCGCACATCTGCACAGAGATCAGTTTTAATAGAGTCTTAACGGAAATGGAAAAGGCGGGGACATCATGGAAACAGCGAGAAAAGGATGCACTGGAGAAAATATGTTGTGGATGGCCTATGCTCCACTGTGAGTCAAAAAAGGGCAAGAGAGAAGAGAGAGGTTTTACGGCACTCGCAACTGTAGAAGGTCATATGAGCACCAAGGGGTGGATGTCGAAAGAGCAGTCTTTACAGGGAATTAGACGTACTCTGCTCACCTCTCTAGCCTCAACAGCACAAAGTCTTCTTCGACTATCAAGGCACCCTGGAAATAGCTGGTCACAGGAGAGTGACAAATATACAAAAGAAGTGGAGGAAAATGACGATAGTAAGGATGAGGAAAGAAAAAGCAGCAGTTCCCTGTTGCAGTTCAGGCACAGTTATGAGCATGACGTTGATAAATCAGCTCATTTACAATTCTACTGTGCATAAGAACATGTTAATGTCCCCACTTTGGGAATGGCCTAAAGACACTTCAGTCAGTTGCAGTGCCCTGGGGGGTCACCTGCAAAGAGCATGGGTCTCAACTCAGAATTTTAAAAAAGGAGGAACTTTCCGCGTGATCGCGACAGAAGACCATTTTCCCGACAAACCCATAATTATTATACTGTTTAACCATAGAATTAAGAAATAAAAACCATCAATTTATCAAAGCAAGGTTATTTCATAACAATTTGAGGGTTTGGAAGATAATTTCAAGTAAAAGACGCACTTACCAAACATTTGCAATCTTGCTTATGTACAGAAAGTGGTGGCGCAATACTGGGTAGTGGAGTTTAGCGGAGAAAATGGAGGTAACAGAAATCAGCTAAATAGCGGAATATTGAGACCCATGAAAGAGGGAGGAGCCGAGAATGGGTCCCCATTTTCTCCTAACATTTGTCGTGGAGTCACTTTAGATACAGTCTTTTTTTACGTGAAAACAAATTGTTTGTTTTAGTAAGTGTTTTACGGCAATTGCAACACAATTAGGTCATACAAGTGCTGAAGATTAGAGGTGTTACAAGAGAGTAACAAACACAAAAAAGACGGAGCAGAGATAAAGACGATAGTTGATAGATAGGAAAGAAAGAGCAAATGCACTAGAGCACCCGCCACCCACCCACTAACAAAAACTTCCAAGTAAGTAGACTGGTAGACCTGGCAACCACATCCCTGGTCTCTTACCTCGGGTCGGGGTGTGTGATCATACAAACTTCCGTCGTGTTCTGGAGGACTTTGGCGTGGGCATTGTAGTAATGGATTCCCAGAATAGCTGTACGGCTCACCGCACTGTTGCTCGCCCCGGCCTGCTTCGGCCCGTTCCTCCAGCAAATGTTCGCTGCCTGGAAATGGATCGAAATGCAAAAACATTTTGAGCACAAATCACAAAAGAAAAGTCCAACTACCACCTTGACAGATTAGGCCTGAGTGAAACACACCGGCCTGGTTAAGGGGAAATATTTCTGAAGAAAGAAAAGAAAAAAACAGTTCTTTACTCAGCATCAACTAAAATTGGAAAACAAAGAGTAGGAATCCTTTTACCTCTTTTTATCCGGGCTACGAGTATACTCGTATCGAGGACCAGTCCGGGCTACGAGTATTCTCGTATCGAGGACCAGTCCGGGCTACGAGTATTCTCGTATCGAGGACCAGTCCGGGCTACGAGTATTCTCGTATCGAGGACCAGTCCGGGCTACGAGTATTCTCGGAACAGTGATACGGTCACGTCAAAGAAGCTAGTTCTGCTTGTAATTACCAAAATACGCAAATACGGCGATACTAGCTCTGTCTGAATATTTTTTAATTTTCCACTGAACAGTGGTTCTTTTGTTTTTGATGGGTGTAGAAGCTTGAAAGATGTCTCGAAAATGCACATTCACGACCGACGAAGTACTTTTTGAAGTGGCGCTGGGTTGTGGGGGGGGGATGATACTAATTTGATGAAAGTGACTCAGAAATAAGCGCCCTAAATTCCATTGTAGATGATAAGAAACAGGACTTAGACCCATCTAATAGCGATTCAGATCATGGTGAAGGGGTCTGTACTGGAATTAGTTCTGTATCGATGGGTAGGGCTAGATCTAGATCTATAAAATCCAATGGGACGTCGTGGGCGTGGCAATCAGGGTCAAGTTCGAGGGTGGAATACACCTCAAAATCTACATTGTGCTATTGGTGTATTTCTTAACCACATACATTTACAAAAACTACATTCAATTTCTAACATAACTGCCAAATTTCCTTAAAATCTTAGAGTAAAAGTAAGAAATATAGCACTTTGAACTATACGCACTGACTTCCCACTCATACGGCGCGGCGGCCCCAGGACGGGTACAGAGTCCGTGGCGGTACGGCTATGATAAAAAGAGTTAAATGACACAGCAAGAACCAACTGGAAAAAGAAAATGAGGAAGACCAACTAGAAGCTATAGAGGCACAATAAGAGATGAGGCAATCACCCAGGGCCTGGATGTGCCATGGACAGACAAGCGTGGCGTAGACTGCTCTCCGCCTTATGTACCTGATGGTATATGGAGTGAGTGAGTGAGTGAGTGAGTGAGTGAGTGAGTGAGTGAGTGAGTGAGTGAGTGAGTGAGTGAGTGAGTGAGTCAGTCAGTCAGTGAGTGAGTCAGTGAGTCAGTGAGTGAGTGAGTGAGTCAGTTAGTCAGTCAGTCAGTCAGTCAGTCAGTCAGTCAGTCAGTCAGTCAGTCAGTCAGTAAGTAAGTAAGTAAGTAAGTAAGTAAGTAAGTAAGTAAGTAAGTGAGTGAGTGAGTGAGTAAGTTAACACTGCTCTCCGCCTTATGTACCTGATGGTGTAGGGAGATGGTAAGAGTAAAGTAAGTAAGTCCAGAGAAGACAGTTCAGTTCCTTTGCTCTTCAGACGAGGCCCTACAAAATAGAGAGCTAAACTCGAACCTGCTCGAAGTCTTAACGACAACCTGTACAAGACAATCCCCTGCATATACCACCACTTCCCCCTTTGCCTTATTTATTTTCTGAATTATAATGACACTGGCCAAGAGCTCCCCTTGTTTTATTAAATAAAACTGTATTCTTCTCAACAATGGATTTAGAAAATTTCGACAGTACCTTTATCCTTCATTTTTATCTCTTTGGGGATGGTTCTTATCTCTAACAAGGGGCGGCTCGTCGTCTGTAGAACGACCAAAGACCTAGCACATCGATTCCCTTTCTATTATAAAGACACATTTTGACTGTACCTTTATTTTTTTTCTCTTTGGTGATGGTTCTTATCCCTAACAAGGGGCGGTTGGTGGTCTGTAGAACTGACCAACAGCCCTAGCACACCGATTCCCTTTCCATTATAATGACACTTCACTGTGTAAGACAGACACCTTTCCACTATAATGACACTTCACTATGTAAGACAGACACCTTTCCACTATAATGACACTTCACTATGTAAGACAGACACCCTTCCATTATAATGACACTTCACTGTCTAAGACAGACACCTTTCCATTATAATGACACTTCACTGTCTAAGACAGACACCTTTCCATTATAATGACACTTCACTGTCTAAGACAGACACCTTTCCATTATAATGACACTTCACTGTCTAAGACAGACACCTTTCCATTATAATGACACTTCACTGTCTAAGACAGACACTTTTCCATTATAATGACACTTCACTATGTAAGACAGACACCTTTCCATTATAATGACACTTCACTATGTGAGACAGACACCTTTCCATTATAATGACACTTCACTAAGTAAGACAGACACCTTTCCACTATAATGACACTTCACTGTCTAAGACAGACACCTTTCCACTATAATGACACTTCACTATGTAAGACAGACACCTTTCTCCCCCACAACCAGTGGCAATCTTAAACAATTCCGACAGTATACTCAACAATAATTAGTTTTCGTAAGAGTTTTATGGCACTTGCAAAACAATAAGGTAATATAAGTGCTGAAGAATAGAGATGTTACAAGAGAGTAACATACACAAAAAAGAAGGAGAGATAAGGACGATAGATGTTTGACAGGAAAGAAGGAGCAAACCACACCAGAGCACCCGCCAACCCCCCACTTCAACAGAACTCTTAACACAATAATCAGACACAGAGAAGCAGCAGCAATGAGCCTACATCTTTTGGAGCCTCTGAGAACTGTGGATGAGCGATGACAGCCTTGGTGTACTTGTCCAGACCGTAGCCGGCGGTGTCCCCGAGCTCTGGGTAGCCCCGCTCCGACCAGTCCATCAGGCGCTTGGCGAGGTCTGTTGTTGACACCTGGAACAGAGATGACGGATCGTCATATTGGGAGAAACCATGCAGTGTAGTTTCATTTATTTCCTTTTGTTATTGTAAGGTTTTATGGCGCTCGCAACTGTATACGGTCATATGAGCGCCACGGGGTGGTTTAGTTTTAGTAAGTTTTACAGCACTTGCAATGCAATACGGTCATATAAGTGCCGAAGATTAGAGGGGTTACAAGAGAGTAACAAACACAAAAAAGAAGGAGGAGAGACCACGATGATAGAATCAGACGTTTGAGGAAAGAAGAAGCAGACCACACCAGAGCACCAACCAAGGAGTGGATGTCAACAGAGAAGTCCAAACGGGGAATCAGACTTACTCTGCTCACCTCTCTAGCCTCAACAGCAGTGTCTGCTTCGACTATCAAGGAACCCCGGAAATAGCTGTTCACAATAAAGAGACAAACATGCAAAAGAAGTAGAGGGGAAATGACGATAGTAAGTATGTGGAAAGGAAAAACAGCAGTTCCCCCTATGTTGTTCCGGCACAGTATGAGCATGACATTGATAAATCAGCCCACTTACAATTCTACTGTGCATAAGAACATTTTAATATCCCCCCTTTGGGAATGGGCTAAAGACAACTTCAGCCAGTAGCACTGCCCAGGATGGGTGGGGGAGGGGGGCTTACAGTGTAGTCTTGTCCATAAATGGTATTTCCACACATAAGACATCCTGTCTTTGCCCGCCCACAAGTGATGGGGAAGCAGTTGGTTACTCATTGAATCTTCTGTGTACATTTTTTAGATGAATTTGAGAGCGCCCCAAAATGTCTAGGTCATCTTTCCGGGAACTTTCCACTTGGCCTGGAGGCCTTTCATTCTTTTGAAACGATGAACATAACAATACTTTCACAATTGTCTTTAAAAATCCCTTGGTTCAGGACCAGAGAAAGGAAAGATATGTTGCCATATTGTCTAGCAAGAAATTTATGACGAGCCTTCTTTTCTGACACAAAACAATGCATACATATATTAACAAATAATTGGCCAATTGCAACCTTCACTCTCTCACCTACATGTAGTTTTTGAGTTCTTTGAAAGATCACGTATTCGTTTTAAAATGTTTATTACTCCATTTCATTTCATCTGCATAAATCAGATAGTTATAATGTGAGTGCAGCAGAATAACAAAACTACAACTGTAGATAATAGGAATCAAAGCAATGATGGTACTAAGCACCCCAACTCTGAGGATAACTCTCAACACAACTTCATCAAAGCACCCAGACAACTTCATCAAAGCACCCAGACAACTTCATTCTTCCTACAAAGTCGTCACGAGAGAAAAATATCCTCATGTGGAACTGATGGGGTGGGGTGGGGTGGGGTGGGCAAAAGAAACAGAGGAGAGAATACTATACCTTCATCCTCCTCCTCCCACTAAACTGGTAACAAACAAAACAGTGCGGTTGAAACTGCTCTCTTACAGTACACAGGTACCTCTGTCTAACACAACACAACCACCGTTAAACGGCCACTTCCCACTTTCCCACCATGCATTTTTTTAATATGTGAGGTGAGCTGACAAAGTGGGTTACTTCTCGTAATCTACAAATGGAGATATCTGTGAAAAATCGACACTTGGGTCAAATTTTTAGACTTTCTATTGATGCCATATCTTTAACTGTTCCATGCCATATATTATTTCATCCTCATACATTGTAAAAACTTCACCTATAAGTGTAAGGTATATATTTCCATAAGGTTTGAATCCGAGAAGTAACTTTTTTAGTCAGCTTACTAAACATATCATACTGACACTGTCTACGACATCCATCTGCCAAGGACAACCACTTTTCTCCTCGACATTACGCGACCTCAGTGCTTTCTTGTCGTATAATTATTTTTTAAACAGTGAAAATGTGACTTCTTAAGCTCACTCTTATTTATGAACTGTTTTCACTGTTATCAAAAATGAAGATACGACAAGAAAGCACTGAGGTCGCGATTAGGCGGCCGTCAAGGACAACTCGTGACCGTGTATATATGTATATATACCTGTCCTCTGTTGTAGATGAGCGACTCGGTGATCAAGAGCATCATGTCGGCTTCATCTGTCCAGTCACACAGCTGCCACTTCCTGCGTGTGGTGTCATTGAGGAGCTTCTTGTGACCCAGCTCAAGCTCTTTACAAACTGAACCATACACCTGCAAAACACCATAGCAAAAAAATGATTGGAAATTCTATTACATGGCCAAGTACAAATGGAACAACACACAGTCGAACCCTGCTCTCTTATTTCTCTCCTAAAATTCCTATGTACGTTTTTTTTCTTTGACAAGTTATTTTAGGCTCAGGGATAATTAATTTAAGGTGGCCAATTCATGCACATAAAAATGAAAAAGAATGTATTCATGACCGGAGTCTAAATGATTTCATTGCTTCAAATGAATATTGTGTACTTGGCTTTGACATTTTTATTGCTTTCTTTGAATTGTTACTGTACTGGGTTCTTTAACACTTTGCCCCCATGGGACGCTGACCGGCGACAGTGTGATAGAGACAAAAAAATGTTGCAGCAATGATCTCTTTTTAGACATGTGTATGCACAAGTCAAATTTCCTTTCTGAATAGTTTGTGTGGCCTTTCAGGTCGAAAATTAGTTTGTATACAACAATTGGGGTAGATCTTTTTTTTAAATGTTGAGTAAACCTAACACGAGTGCTGCTTTACTATTAAGCCATGATCAGAATTCGGGTGAAGATTAATGAGCTGGATCTAAAGAGTTTTCAGTTCCGATTTTTATTCCTTTTTTGGTAAACATGCGATCATCACTTACCATTTTCTCAGTGTATGTTAAAAATGTCAAAATGGTTGATGTATTTTTTTTCGAGATACAGGAGTAGTACTGAAGTACGGCATCTGTATCCTGGTCCGTGGGGACAAGAGTTGTGTGCTCCGAGCGCTGCGGGGGTGGAAAGTGTTAAGTATCGCCTCTGTATTTTTTTTCTTTTATAAAATAGTAGAGGGTTTTACGGCGCTCGCAACTGCAAAAGGTTATATGAGCGCCAAGGGGTGGGTGTCAACAGAGAAGTCTTTACAGGGAATCAGACCTAGACTGCTCACCTCTCTAGCTTCAACAACACAGAGTCTGCTTCAACTATCAAGGCACCCCGGAAATAGCAGGTCACAAGGGGGTGACAAACATACAAAAGAAGTAGAGGAAAATGACAATAGTAAGGATTAGGAAAGAAAAAGCAGCAGTTGCCCGTCGTAGATCAGGCACAGTTATGAGCGTGACATGAGTCAGCCCATTTACAATTCTACTATGCTTGAACGAGATATGTCCCCCCTTTGGGAATGGCCTAAAGACACTACAGTCAGTGGCACTGCCCCAGGGGGAATCGCCTCTGTAATGGGCTACCAAAATGGTACGAGAAAACAAGTAGAACTCAAACCTTGTGAGCCTGAGCCTTGGACAAAGACTCTGTCAAATGACCAATGGCATCACCGGTGACCACACCGTACAGTGTTCCCAGAATCTGATCATAGGCACGGCCTGCTTCTCTTTGAGCAACCTGAAAATTGAAAAGAAGACATCAGTTGTAAGCTAAACACAAGAGTTGACCATGCAAAAAATTTACCAAAATAAATTCCCCACTACAAATGTATAGGCTTCCAGTTAACTCGCCACACTGTGAATTAGTCACATACCTCCAGTGATCTCGTCACGTACTCGAACTTGTGAAAAACGTGTGGCGAGTTCACCGTGGATTGGAAGGCAAACTCACACATATGGCAACCTTTAATGAATAATTAATATTTTTTAAAAGCAAAACCAGAGTTTATTCAATCAAAATCGACATGTATATATATATGTCAACCTTTGTTAAACAAAAAACGGACACATTTTGGGTTGCAATATAAAACCTGTTTTTAAAATGTGCATTTTGCAATATAAAACAAATCTAAAATGGTACAGGATCACTGGTGGAGGTAGTGTGATGAGTCCGTGCTGTTATTTAGAGATACTTTTTTTTCGGTGAACTCACCACACATTTTTCAGCTGTGTCGACTTCACTGGTTCCCTACAAATATGCTGAATGCTGCCATACTACTGTGTTCCAAATTATGGAAGTGGCTATTCTCATACGATAGACCTCTCATCTCGGGTGAGACTTGCCAGCGTTGGCTATTCTCACCCGGTGTGAAACACACATCAAACAAGACCTGTTTGTCCTAATTTCTGAACTGTCTATCGGTTTGGGTTATCAAACTGACAAAAAAACAAAGAAAAAAAGAAAAAAGATGTTACAGCTTAACAGAAAACTAAATTGGTCGTCTACTAAGATGCTACAGCTATTTCACATTTTCGAATCGAGCCGAACTACGCGTGTCGCCATTTTGTTTTGCCTGGAAGTTTTCGCTTGGTCTACTCCTTCAAGGTCTTCTCTCTCACTCTCTCTTTCTGAATACTGTCTATCAGTGTGGACGATCAATTTGACAAAAACAAAGAAAAAAATGATGTTATAATAGCACAAAAGTAAATTAAATCGGTTGTCTAAAAAGATGCTACGGCTATTTTGTTTTGACCAGGAAGTTTTCGCCACTCCTCTACTCTCTCTCAGTCTCCC